GTTGAACTCCATAAGGTTGGCACAGATCGACCTCTACAGCCTGTCCAGGTCCTTCTGGATGGCATCCCTTCCCTCCAGCATGTCGACCGCACCACCTCAGAAAACCTGTGTCCCTGCTGCCATCTAACGCTCACCACCTGATTGATTCTCTAACGAATTTCCACTATGCAACCTCAGTTGCACAGAAAAACACCCACATTAATAGTAACATCTATTTTCTTACCTACAATGCAGAAATCCCTCTCAGAATTTTGTTTATTCTTACCTTGGTCAGTTCTTGAAGCATATTGGAAAGTAATTCACAACAAATATCCTTCAAAATTTTTAAATGGAAATCTTCCTCATTTATATCAGCCCTTCCCGTCTCGTCTTGTTCAGACTCGTTTGAGTTATCAACAGATCTCTTCCCACAGCCCTCCATGTATTGTAAGATACGAATCAAGCTCCCAATCAGAGGCATATCTAAGAAAAAGTAACAAGAAAATGGAAGTGTAACACTGAATTTTCTCCACATCCTTTCAAGTCATCGGGATTCTGAAACACACCCTAAGATTTTATACAATAGCTATAGGAATGTATATTCTGACAGTGCTGCGTTTTGTCACTCAAAGACTGTTTAAAGCAGCGCCTAGAAATGTAGTAGAAAACCCCAAACATTTTTTCTGCAAGCTAACCTGAACCTATAAAAAGTATATGCCAGTGGTAAGGAATATGAGAAGAAAAATGTCTCTGGTAGCCACTCAGAGAGGCTCGTATGTTTAATTTGCATCCAGATATTCCTGTCCGATAAACCAAACCACACCACGTCTTTCTGCTGCCGATGACCCCGACTCCCATTCCCAAGTTAGGCTTTTAATTCTAGACTTGCCAATGGATTGGAAAGTAACAGGTGATAAAGATGGGTTTAAGTAAGTGCAGAATCTCCCTCTACTAAGAAAAAAATGAAAAGATTACTATTAAGATGTCATATTTTAGCCAAGATGAATTCTGCAAATTTTCATCAGTTTACCCAATGGAGAAGACTGAACAGAATCTGTAGATTTTATTCCTGTAACTCTTCGCAGATATCCAGCAACTCAACTTTGAGCTGTGACTTTTAGAGCCACCAGTAAAGAGTCCTACTGTATTCAAACACATAACTGCATTCTGTGTTCTGATCTCTAGCAAACCGTAATAAATTAGCCACCACATAAAGTCAATTGCGAAAATAACCCAAAAAAAAAAAAAAAGAAAAAAGAAAAAAGCTTGACTTGCTTTTCCTCATCTTGGTGTATTCTTGTTCTGTCTGCGAGGCAAACATAGCAGAGAGCACGGACAAAATAGAGGCCAGAACAGTCTTCTGCTCCTGCACCATGATCGGTGGATCATCTGGCTGGCAAAGTTCATGGCAAACGAGGTCGTAAAGCAAACTCCAGGTCTCTTTTCCTCCATCAGGAGCCTGCACTTAAGAAAGAAAGAGAACCCACCAACACAACAAATTTAATCTAGGGAGATGAATTATTTTTCTCCCCATGAAATATCTGATGATCTAGAAGTTACTGGCCATTCTTGGTCCCATCACATGTAGCAATTCAAGTGTCTTACCAATAGCCTGAATACCCTCATCCACTGTGGTCAGGAGCTGCAAAATATGCATATAAACATCAAGTCCTTCCGGATTATCTGACCTACACAGAGCAAACAAAAAACAAAGACAAAAGATCTGAGTTTATATTGCGTGTGTTTTGGACACACAGACGAGACTCAGCAATCACTGCCATTCTCTTCGCTGCTAACGGAACAGTAAGCTCATCTGAAATGATAAGCACAGGAACACGCACTCTAGTGATCTGTCAAACTACGCAGCCCCCGCTGACATCGAGATGTTCAGACACAGGCCTCGACAAGGTTATAAGGAGTCTCCCCAGCCACGAAACCAAAAAGAAACCTCACGTACCGGACTTGTTTGGCTGCTTCAAGTATACAAGGCACAATCTTAAAATCTGGAAGTTCTTCTGGGGAATCATCTACGGACGGTCCTACAGACCGACAAGTGCCATTTTTAATCCAGTTTAACATCAGCTCTTCATCTAGATCAAAGAGTTTGTCCACCACTTCACCCACTTTCACCAGCAATTCAACTGCACAAGAGAGAATGTATACATTTCAACAACACTAAAACCAAGCAAAAATTAGCTCACAAAATGCTAACACATAAAAGTATTCAGACTAAATCCAGTGCTGACATATATTAGTTTTGTTCACAACCCACTAAGGGTTGCTATGTTTAATTCCTTTTTTGGCACACAGCAGGGGAAGAGCTCGATAAACAGGCATCGCTGGAAAGGCCACTGACACCTTCTACCTTATCACGCCATTAATGAAGCGGGAACTTCATTCTACAAACAGACTTCACGCTCCTGGAAAGTCCTAACTTCTGCTTCTGAGGTAAAACTTGCCAAGATTCGTCCCTAAATATGCAGGTTTCTGCTAACCTCACACCTGCCAATCTGCATTTTACTTAATTAGATCTGTGATTTCAATTGACAGACAGAACTTCTGAGCACTGTCATTAAAAAAACCCCAAGCAAATAGAAAAAGCTCAGTTATCAGGATTCCTAGACAAATGATAACTGCTCTTACAAATGAGTTGGATGTGAAATATAAATGCTGTTCAAAATACTTCCACTATTTGGTACTTAGTCTGGTTTTTGCTACATTAGTGCTACGAGATTTGTGTACTGCTGGCGGCATACCGAAAGCCCGTGCAGTATTCAGCTGCCATTCAGAGTGACCGAATCCCTTCTCCCGTTCACATTACACAAGTATGGTAGTTTTAAAAATGGAAAAAACCTGTCTGATGTGAAAAACGACCTTCAGTGAGGTTTTGTTTAAAGAATCACGTGACATGTATATCCCTGAATGAGGGGACTATGTCCTTTCCTTTACTGTGCCAAATAACAATTCCTTCTATAACAGAAGGACTTATTTTGATTCCCTCACAGAGCTTTCTTGGTCCCCTGTGGGTGCTTTTCTGGATGGTTTTAGACACAAGTATAAACCTGCAAAAGCAGGAAAAGTCTATTTTGGTCTCCTTTAAATTCATGAAGTTTATTTTAAAGAAATTCTGTACTCCCAATTCACAATATCTTTCTTTATATTGCATACTTTGGTTCTTACTTTTTGCCTGCAAACACCCACTAACTCCCAGCTTGTTCTGGCAACTTACCATTTGTAGAGCTGGACATGATAAAGCACACACAGTCATACACAGAAGGGTTTTCTCGGATTCTCTCAACCCAGACGTTGGCCACCTCAGGCTGGGAGAGGCAAGTTAACAACAACCTAGACAAGAATTGCCCATTTCACAAACTAGAAGCCAATTTTAGCTGTACAAGTCTAAATCCAAAATGATGAGAATGATGTGACAGGAACAGGAATCCAGCTCACAGCTAATCGATTCCAGGACAATGGGGAAATGATAAAAGGATAGGATGAGAGGATAATAAAATATCAAGTCCCCTTATCACTTTTCTTCCCAGGCCTCAGAGCACAGCAGAACTACACTAATGATGCATTGACTTCCAAGATGTCCTACCTGCTTGTTTCCAGAAGAGTTGGGGAGTCTGAATCACACAAACGTTGCAATAACACTTGGCTTTAAGGAGTAAATGCAAGAAAAAAGTTAATTAAAATGTATCTTTGTTAAAAAAAAAGTAATAAAAAGGTTAATTTCAGAGCTGCAGCTGGATCAAAACCAGCTTTTCTTGACTGTGTATGCATTTCCAGTGTTTCAAGATTACCAGAGACTTAGAAATTAAAGATTCAAGAACTTGAATGGTGATTAAAAACAAACAAACAGTGGTCTGCATCTTTTTTTTTTCCTTCAGTGAACACTTACCACACAAATATGGTCAGCCAAAAAGGTGGGAATGAAAAGGAGGCAAACTTAGTTCCCACTGCATCATGTATTTCATGATGCTGAGCGCAGAAAAGGAGTACTCATGCACGTGTGAAGCACATACACACTTACCCAAGATTCTCATCTTTACTAATGGACATGCATATGTCTTGGAAACAGGCCATATTTCCTAATATTCCCACACAGATTTCCTGAAAAGTCAAAACACAGTATAATGAGGCAACTGCAGTGTAGCTCACGATTTTATTTCCACAGCCATAAGACAAAAGTAAGAATGGTTCAGAGATGTTATCCAATTTGATTTCCCAGTTCTTATGACCCACCAATTTCAAGACAGATGCACATTTTTCTACAGGATGCTATTAGATTAGCCTAAAATACACTCATGACAGGTACTATTGAGATATTTTAGGTGTTAAGGTGTTCCATAAAAGCAAATAGATCTCAAAATCAACTTTGCTTGCATATTCTATGTGTACTGTCGTGAAGCTAATCTGGCATGCCTATTAGTAAAGCAACAGAGTCCTAGAACAAAAATATCACCATGGAAGTGCAACCCTCACAGACAATCACTTTCTCCCAAAAGGTGTCTTAATACAGGCTTCCAGCAAAGCCCATTTTCTGATTCTGGGGAACTTAAAAAACCCAAACAGAAAAAAAAAAAGCAGTGCATCCCATGAGGATATTTACGCCCAGGCAATCCCATAAAGGACACACGCTTCTACCAAGAGGACGGTGAGAGCTCTGAAATAACCTGTGGGTGGCTGGTGCTAACACAGAACGTCCTGGGAATTGTTCATTTTCAGCAATTCAAAGTTGGAAATCAACTCTCGCCACTCAAGGTTATCTTCTTAATTATTAACATGCTATTTCCCTCTTCTAAATTACAGCAGACACTCTAGCAGACACTATTTCAAGAAAACAGATGTTCCAATTTGCACTCACTTCCAAATTTTGGCTGTACTTTCAACAGACAAAGTACTGAACTTCCAAAGCCCAGATGTGTCTCTACTCATCTGAAGTAAAGTGCCTGGTAACTTCAGGGAAAGGGGAGTTACGCCAACACTGAATACCTTTGAAAACCTTATGTTGAATCCTACAGCTCACTGTGCAATACAAGCTGCAAAGCAGTGAGATCAAAAAGAAAAGGAAAAAAATAAAGTACTGGTGTCTACCAGTTCCTAACCACCAAGATTACTTTTTGTATTGGGTTTGCATGGCAAGGTTTTGGTAGTAGGGAGCTGCAGGGGTGGCTTCTCTGAGAAGATGCCAGAAGTTTCCCCCCATGTCTGATACAGCCAATGCCAGCTGTCTCCAAGACAGACCCAGCACTGGCCAGGGCCAAGCCAGGCAGTGACAGTGGTAGCGCCTCTGGGAGAACGTATTTAAGAAGGGGGAAAAAACTGCGTGCAAGAGCAGCCAGAGAGAGGTGTGAGAATATATGAGACAGCCAGGCAGACACCCAGGTCAGTGCAGAAGGAGGTAGGAGGTGCCCGGAGCAGAGATTCCCTGCAGCCCATGGTGAGAGGGCACTGTGCCCTGCAGCCATGGAGGGTCACGGGGGAGCAGAGACCCCCCTGCAGCCCGGGGAGGGCCCCATGTCAGAGCAGGAAGCTGCACCCGAAGGAGCCTGCGAATCCATGGGAAGCCCATGCTGGAGCAGGCTGCTCCGGAAGGACTGCACCCCATGGGAGGGACCCACACTGGAGCAGTTCGTGAAGAACTACACCCCGTGGGAAGGACACATGTCAGAGAAGCTTACAGAGGACTGTCTCCCACGGGAGGGACCCCACGCTGGAGCAAGGGAAGAGAGTGAGAAGGAAGGAGCAGCAGAGACAATGTGTGATGAACTGATCACAACCCCTATTCCCCGTCTGCATGAGCCACTTGCAGGGAGGAAGCAGAGAAATGAGGAGTGAAGCTGAGCCTGCAAAGAAGGGAGGGGTGGGGGGAAGAGGTTTTAAGATTTGGGTTTATTTGTCATTATCCTATTTTGATTTCATTGCTCATATATTCGATTAATTTCCCTAAGTAGAGTCTGTTTTGCCCGTGACAGTAATTGCTGAATGAGCTCCCTGTCCTCACCTCAACTTGTGAGCCTTTCATCATGTATTTTCCCACCCTGTCCAGCTGCGGAGGGGAGTGATAGAGCAGTTGGTGGGCATCTGGCCTCCAGCCAGGGTCAACCCATCACATTTTTGTAGGTCTGACTACACAAATCCATGACCATTTCTGTTCAGGAATCATGAAAGAAGTCATGAAAAGAAACAAGCCAGTCTTTACTGGTTCTGATAACAAGCCTTCTAACTAGGTTTGACAAACTTAGTCCTTCATCAGTAATGACATTTCAGCTTCAGCACCACTGAAATACTTACTGATTAGACCACAGTAAAAGCACTGCAAAAAAGCATTTTAAAATTTGATTTTGTGTTTTCTCCTCGTTCCCCTAACGTACTCAAACATGCAAACGCATGTACAGAGCCATCTACTATTGCTATTAACATGGGGCAGCTTTCTGACAGCCCATACTTACAGTAAGGCGAGGGCATTTTGACTTGGCAAAAATTCCCATGAATATATCAGGGGCATTGAACTCCTGAAGAAATAAAGCGACATCCTGTGGAGAAAGTGAATGGAGAAGTAAATAGACTTCTACAGTTCCCAAACACAAAATCAAACCCTTTCTCACAGCACAAGGACTGGATGAAAGAGATGTCCAACTCACTACAAGAGATCAGTTATTTCCCAACAGTTAATATCAATAAGCCTTGCTTTTCAACGAGGGAAGATCAGCAAGCCCCTATGGTGGTTGAGGGTACCAGTGATTTGCTATACAATGAGCCAAAGAGTCATACTTAGTTTCATCTGCTCTCTGTCTCAACAGCGGGTCAGAGATGCTAAGTCAGAATTCAGCCAATACCATGGTTTCAGACAGTGACATCACCCAGACGTACAAAAAAGAATCAAGGGAAGGGATTACCATTAGCACTTGATCAGACCATACAACAGAGAAAATCTCCTCCTTATTTTATGACATTAAAACACAAAATTAGTTCTCTATTTGGGAGTAAAGTACACAACTTCCATGTTTATTTAAAGTATCTCAAAGAGACAGGGAATAAAATAATCATAATTAAAGAAAAATACAACTGTTACTTGAGAATTCGTTCCAGCATTTGAGAACATTGACAAAAATATCAAAAAGTTATGTTACACTGCCCTTGCAAGACTGTAGCTAAACTTTAGGAGGTTGTTTATCTATCAGAGAAAACTATGCTTACCAGCAGGAGGCATTACAATTGCTAGAGAAAATATACCTATTTAGAGATGGCATCAGTATTACCTCCATAATCAAAGTGCTGAAGATACAGGCTGTGCACCTGAGTTAATCTCAGCTACAGCTAAGCTGCTGTCTCCTCCTAACTCCAAGCCTCGGTTCAACTCCTGCACGTAACAGCAAACCAGCAGATGTGAGCACAGCCCCGCTGATGCCAGCTGACCCTCAGCAACAGCACCGCGCAATCCATTGAACACCCGGAGGGAAGGCCGGGCAGACCACCTTGATTCTTCTACCTGCACGCGCAGCTCCGCTTCACATGCCGGTACAGCAGCACGGGGTGTCACGGCTAAGCCGCAGCGGAAGGCCTGCTCCTGCAAAGCGGTGCTGGGCTCACTGCACACCACCAACGTGCTCATCCTGAGATGCCGTCAGCATGAGCCTGCTGGATACCAGCTCACCGCACCTGCCCTGCCCAGTGACCCGCAGCACACCCTGACCACAGCGGGGAATCCCCAGCACCACCCAAATGAGAAGGCTGGCCAAGCCCGCGGCACTCCGTGCCTTCTCCCGCTCGGGAAGGACGCTGGCCGAGCACAAGGGGCAGGAGCCGCGCGTGGCTGTGAAACACCCCGGACGTCTGACTCGCGCACGGTGCTCCTACCTCGTCCATGGACATATCCCACACTTTGCAAATGTCGTTCTCCATCTCGTCATCCAGCTCCGTCTGGCTTCCCTCGGGGCTCGCGGTGGGCTCCGTCTTCTCGGGGCTGATGACCTGACAGAAAAGGGGGCGGAGGATGGGGCACACGGGGGTAGGGCAGCGCCTGAGCCACGACCGAGAGACGCCGTGAAACGCGGACACGACCCATCGCTTCAGCCGCGGTTAAAACCCCACGCGACGAGGAAACCGGCGCGTCCGCCCCAGG